TAATTGATACATTAGGTATCATTTGCACCTTTTTACAAAGGTGTGTTTGAACAAAGAATTTGATGTTCCCTTCAGGCTATAAATCTGCTGAATATGCAAATGGTTCCATAACTTCTTAAATTCTTATTTCTCTTCTCTTTACTGTGTTAAGCTTTAACCCTTTCCTATACAAACTGTGTGTGTGTGTATATGTGTATGTTAGACCAGTTTAAGTGTTTATGTAGTATGTTAGACTAGTTTAAGTGTTTATGTAGTTAATAAAGCCTTACTTGTATCACACTTGATGTTGTTCATTGTTTGCTCATAACTGGAGTCACTTAATCATGCAGATTTATGCTACAAGCTCTTTGTAGAATTGTACAGTAAGAAAGTTATTTCCCTTAACCAGGAAATTAACGTTCTTAGAATTGACAGACAGTTGACCCTGAGAGGTCAGCTAAATATCTACAGCGGATCTAAATATTTATAATTAATTATAACTAGTTATGATTAATTATTCATATTTCCCCATGAGCTGATTTGCTACAGGGGTTAGTGGTCTTTAATTGAAGCTTTTAAATACAGCATGTGTGTATGCAGTGTGAAGTAATTTGAACTTAACCTAATCCCTGGTTTCTGATTTTTCACTTTCCTTTTCTTCTTTTTCTCTGTTTCCCAATCTGCAATTCGTCTCAGCGAATGCAACTACCTTAGATGTATCCTTCCTGAATGCTATTGCTCAGTTACTAATTAATTAAATCTAAATTTAATTAAATTTTAACTGTCTATCTAGAGAACAATCATTAAGTTGTTGGGTGTTTTTAGTAACACAGTGAATAACGCGCTACAGAGGGCGGGGCACACACATGGCTGGCCTCAGCATGGGAGCTGAACACACAGCAGCTGTAACCAGGCATGGTGTGTGCCCAACACAAACCTTACAGTTAATCACGAGTGCTACTGATTGTTCCTAATACCAGATTGATTACCTTTTTATTTAATAATAGCAGTCAGCTAATTTTAAATCCATTTACATGTTATGCCCCCTTTTGTTCCACTTTGATTTGATGATCTCTCTGAACCTCAAAATGAACCAGAGACACTTTTATTTTTGATTTGTTTATTTTCAACATGTGTTCTAATTTTATGACCCTGTTACACAAGTCATCTAGACAAATACTAGGGCACAACTCTAGTCCTGAGCACCAAATAATAAGCATAATCTGAATAGAAATCCTCTCCCTTTCCTTTTCCCTCTTCTACTTCACTTCCTCAGAGATTGAGCCTGTTGTGAACCATCAGTAAGTTCTGAGTGATAATTTGACAATAAGAACAGTCTTAAGTCATCAATCAGAACTCTGTTCACCCCCTTTTCAGCAAACATATGCTGACCCAAACCGTAGCATCCTGTCATCCACAGCTAAGATATTAACCTAATACTTCCCGGCAAAACCTAACTGTAAAACCTAGCTCCACACTCTGTTTGATCTTGTATTAGTCTCTAGCCCTTACTCTCAGCACGAGTTTGCCAAAATGTTGCAGATGCTCAGTCTAACTCAGTCAGACACCCTTCTACCCAGGGCTGACGACCACCTACTGCACCAGCCCCGAAAGCAACTGGAC